ACTGGGGATCGATCAAACTCGGGTCCTTGTGCGTGAGAGGCAGGCAGCAGAACCACTGAGCTAAATCCCAGCCCAGCTTACTAATTCATATGTATCTGGGAATCTGTCCATTTCTTCTGTATTTTCCATCTTATTAGAATACAGCTTCTCAGAGTAGGTATTGATGATCTTCTGGATTTCTGTAGGGTCTGTTGTGATTTATCATTTGCCCAATCTTTGATTGGGTCTTTTATTTTGAGCAGTCTAATTTTTAAAAAATTCTTTCGTGTGTCCAGTATATTTTTTAGCCCCTTTGTCCAAAACTTTTAGATTTCTAGAAAAATTGAGAAAACAGTACAGAGGGTTCTCACCTCACATACAATTTCCCTCAGTATCTTACATTAGTCCAGAGACTTTGTTATAATTAACAAATGAATGAATATTGATAAATTATTATTAGCCAAAGTCCATACTTTACTCAGATTTTCTTAGGTTTCTCCAGTGTCCTTTTTTTTGGTACCGGAAATTGAACTCCAGTCCTTGTGATTTCAAGGCAGGTGGCAACACCACTGAACTAAATGCCCAGCCTCTCCAGTGTCCTTTCTGAGCTCAGGATTCCATCCAGAATACCAACTTATATTTAGTTGTTATGTGTGCTTTAGCTTTTTTTAATTTTAAATTTTTATTTATTTATTTATTTATTTGAGACAGGGTCTCACTATATAGTCCATTCTGGCTTGAATTGATTAGTCCAGGCTGGCCTTGAACAAACAGTGATCCTCCTGCCTCAGCCTCTGGATTGCTGGGACTACAGGGATGCCCCACAAGTGGCTTTAGTTTCCTCTGGACTGTGGCAGATTTCCTTTTGATGACCTTGCCTTTTTCTTTTCCTGGTGCTGGTGATCAAACCTGGGGGTTCACATGACTTTGACAATTTTGAGTACGGGACGTATATTCTGTCTCTACTGGAATGTATTTGATTGTATTTTTCATGCTCTGACTTAGGTTACTTATAGGTTCAGGGGAGGCAAAGTCGCATTATCATCACCATATATCAAGTTTGCATATTTTCAACAGGACTTATCACTGCTCATGCTGGCCTTGAGCACCTGACTGAGAGTGTTTTTCAGGTTTTTCCACTAGAAAGTTATTTCTCCCCTCCTTAAAACACTGTACTTATTGGAAGAAAATTGCAACACACCGTGTACTTAAGGAGTAGGAGGTTTTGCTTCCTTGAGGGTAAGGTAGCAACATACATACTTTAGAATTTTGCACAGATATCTAGGAATTCATTTTAAGTTTAATTTGTATTTTAACCATCATAATACATTTATTTACTTTTACTTGTATGACTGGGGATTGAACCTAGTCCCTTTGCATTTCACGATATCCCCAGCCATTGTTTTTTCTTTTATTGAGTTTATTGGTACATTTAAGGTATACAGTACAGTTACATTCATTATTGGGATCTTGTACCTTTACATGACAGGTCTTGGTTCTCATTTTTTCCCCTTGTCCCTGCCCTCCCTTCACCCCCTCCTCCCCTCCCCATTTACAAACACTTTATTTCCATTTTTTCATTTTCTCATATTTTTTTTCTTTTCCCTTATTACCTTTCCTTTACCCTTCCCATTTCCCCTACACCTTTAGCCCTTTTCTTCCTATTTCACATGGTCAGTTATCTCATTAGGATCTTATGTACTATTATAGTTTTTCACACCAGAGAAACTATTCGGTATTTACACATGTGTGACTCATTTATTTCACTTAGGAGTATACCCTTAATGTGTATCCATTTTCCTAGGAATGAATCTAATTTCTCATTCTTTATGGCTGAGTAGTATTCCATTTTATAGGAAAACCACATCTTCTTTATCCAATCCCCAGCCATTTTGAAATTGGTTTTACTAAGTTTCCCAGGCTGAGCTTGATTTGTGACCCTCCTACTTCTGCCTCCCACTATGCTGGATTACAGATGTGCACCACCACACGTGGCTTGCAGTTTCAAAATATGGCCAAAAGACTCATTAAGTATGGCATCAATGAAAACACTCAAGCATTGCATGCATTACAGCAAGAGTGGAAAGATTGAAAGAGAAAATGAATAACGTAAATTGCAGCTGTTAAGGAAGAGCTTGTTCATATATTTTTTAAAATGGATGATGGTCTCAAATTGCTTTGGTATTTGGATTTACATTCCAGGTTGCACATTTTTTAAAAAGTGATTTTAAAGGGCCAGGGATGTAGCTCAGTGGCACAGCACCTGCCTGGTAAGCACAAGGTCCTGAGTTTGATCCCTGGTACTGGGGAAAAAAGTTAATATTCAGCTAGGTGAAAGAGTATATGCTTGGCATATGCAAGGTCTGGTTCAATCTCAGCACCAAAACAAAAAAATAAATAAATAAAGTCAATATTCACAGTATGCCTGAAATGACATCTTTTCAACTATTTACTTTTTTTTTTTCTTCTTTTCTTTACCCTTACTGGGGATCAAACTCAGGACCTTTCACTTGTAGGGCAGGCATGGTGCCACTGAGCTAAATCCCCAGCTTCTTTCTGGTGTTTTGAGACAAGGTTTCACTGTGTAGCCCAGGCTTGCCTCAAACTCGTGCCAATTCTCCTGCCTCAGTCTCCCAAGTGCTGAGATTATAAGCATGTGCCACGATGCTCAGCTACAGCTATTCAGCCTTGAAATGAAAAGGTTGAGTTGTTAGTGTGGTTTATCAGCTTATTTAGGGAGGTGGGAAGTGTCATGGTTGCATTGTGTCCTATCAAAACTCATGCTGAGCCAGGCGTGGTGGTGCATGCCTGTAATTCCAGCACTTGGGAGGCTGAGGCAGGAGGATTGCTATGAGTTCGAGACCAGCCTGGGCTACATAGTTCCAGGTCAGTCTCAACTACCTAGTGAAACCCTGTCTCAAAAAACCAAAAAACCAAACCAAACAAAACAAAAAAAAACTCATGCTGAAAACAATTTTTTAGGTGGACCCTTTAAGAGATGAGTAGGTCACACGGCTGTGCCCTCTTGAGTGGACTCGTGGACGCATGGACTCCTGGGTTATCCGAGTGGGAGGTCTCTTGGATGTGCCCCTCACATACAAGTGATGCCACCTCATCACCCTTCAGCTGGCTCCCAGCAGTAAAGTGACCTAACATTGGACTTCCCAGCCTCTAGGACCAAGACCAAAATATGTCTTTGTTCTAAGCCCCATTGTGTGAAAACAGACTAAGATAGGGGTCCTGATGGGGCCCACTTCGCATGCTGCCCGTGCAGGGTTCCTACCACCATCCTTGCTCCTTCCCTGTGGCTTCCTGCCAAGCCCTCAAGACCTGACCTACTGGCTCCTCCTCAACTGTAAACTCCGAGGGTGAAACTAGACCACTTATAACAGTCTGTGACTCCCTAAACGACAAACCCTGAGCAGACACGTGGGGACAGTGCCCAGGGAGTAAAGTTTTCGGGTGCTGCCTCTGCGCTGTGTGCTGCCCTTAGCTGTAGTCCAAGGAGACATTTCAAAAGATGCCTCACCTAGGAAGCCTTCTCTGATTAATGTGAAACCAATAAAATCTAATAACCGTCCCTCCTCCCACCTGCAGGCCAAACGACCACTTTAGATCACAAGGCCTGACACACCCGTGACTTGACAGAACAGTGTGTGTTACATGCAGGAGCCGTGTCCCACTGCACATGAGTGATTACACTGGCCTAACACATCACCCACACGGCCTCTCACAGGCCACCACTTTTTAAAAATGATGAGATTTTGTATTAAAACCAGCACCAACACCAAAATGGTTTTAAAAGGCTAATAGCAAGAAGTATTGTGGGGTTGTGGAGCAAGTAGAACTCTCACATGTTGCTGTAGGAACATAAAATGATGCAACCGCTATAGGCTGCCTGGTGTCCATGTTTACCTCATGACCCAGCAATTCCACATCCAGGTTCTTATCCAAGAGAAATGAAAACCTATGTCCACACAAAGATTGGTACATGAATGTTCACACCAGCTTCATTCTTTTTTTTTTTTTTTTTTTCCAGTACCAGGGATCGAACTCAGGCCCTTGTGCTTGTGAGGCAGGAGGCAGCACCACTGAGTCAAATACCTGGCCCCATTCTTTTTTTTTTTTGATTGAGAAACATTTCAATGTGTGCACAATCCAGTCAGAATACATAGTTCTATGTATTACAAACAACTGCTCAGGGGTATTTTCATTTATTTCACTTTCAGTAATACATTTTTTTGTCTTACATGCTTTAAAATTAACAGTCACAACTGAAGAAACAGTAACTTATTTTTCTAAGTAAGTGACCAAGCTGCTGAATCTTAAGGCCTCAACAAATGTTGCATATTATTATTTACACTGAACAGTAAGACCTAATTTGGGCCAAGGATTTAGCTCAGTAGCACCACGCCTGCTGAGTTTGATCCCTGGTACCACACACACACACACAAACACACACACACACACCTTTTATTTTGATTATTCTTGGTGAGCATCAACTTTGTTTTCCCAGTGGTTTCCATTTGCTAAATAGCCATTACAGATGATTCAACACGGTGCTCACCGCTTCCGGGATCCCACCTGATGAGTCCTCCTTCCCAGTGCAGCAGCTGTGGCAGACTCCACCCAGAATCCAGCCATCAGGACCTCTCTATTGAGGCTCGCCAAGAAGTCCCACTTTGGCTGCAAGGGCTTCATTCTGCAGGGATTCCTGAAATCTCACGGATATTCTTTTTTTTGTGGGGGGGAGGTTTCTGAGACAGGGTCTCACTAAGTAGTTGAGACTGACCTGGAACACACTATGTAGCCCAGGCTGATCTCGAACTCACAGTGATCCTCCTACCTCCTACTCAGCCTCCTGAGTGCTGGGATTACGGGCGTGCACCACCACACGCAGCTTCATGGATATTCTTTGTGTCACTTTTAAATGTTTCTGTAAGCAGTGTTCTGAACAGGTGATCTCTTCAGGTTTTACTGCTCTTGTTGTGAAGTCTTTAACAGAGTCCAAAAAGCAGGTTTCTATAAGTTTACTGTAGTCTCCCAGGAATTCCCTAAACTGTTTTATCTGATCGGATCCTGATATCTGTGCAGCCATATTCTTTTGTATATTTATGAGTCACCCTTTCTTTCTCTCTCTCTCTTTTTTTTTTTTTTTTTGTACCAGGGATCGAACTCAGTACCTATGTTTGCAAGGCATGTGGTGGAACCACGGAGCTAAATCCCCAGCCTGAGTCTCCCTTTCTGATGCATGAGTTTCCCAAGTTCATGAGAAGTAGTTGCCCAATCTTCCCAGTGTTTCCAGTGAGGCCTGATTTCTCGCCGGCTTTCTCATCTGTATGAGGCTGAGGGACTGTAACAACTGTTGGGGTTGTGGGTAGGCAGATGGTCAGGGTTAAGGAGGCCACCTTGGCCAGAGATGCCAGCGTTTTGTTTTCTGAGACAGGGTCTTGCTATGTAGTTCAGTCTGGCCTCAAACTCACGGCAATCCGGCCTCAGCCTCCCAAATGCTGAGATTACAAGGTTTGGGCGACCACATCTGGCTAAATGAGGAACTGTATATGTATATACATTACAATATTCTGAACAATGAAATGGTCAAAGGAAACTCCAATAAATGTCTTTGCTTTTATTTGCATAACTCTTACACGCAGTACTATAATGTATAACAGAACATAAAACTGCAGCACTATGCTGTACAGTACAATCAGCAAAAAGAGGTGTACTATACAAAAAATGCATTGAATGTAGGAGAAGTGGGAAGGGTAGGGAAAGGAAATAAGGGACAGGAAAAAATATGAGAAAAGGAAAAAATGCAAAGTCTTTGTAAACGGGAGGGTGGAGGTGGTGAAGGGAGGGCAAGGGTATGGGGAAAAAATGCGCACCAAGATACATCATGTAAAGGTACAAAATCCCAATGATGAATGTGACTGTACTGTATACCTAAAATGTACCAATAAACTAAAAAAAAAATACATATAAGGGACAGGAAAAAATATGAGAAAAGGAAAAAATGCAAAGTCTTTGTAAACGGGAGGGTGGAGGTGGTGAAGGGAGGGCAAGGGTATGGGGAAAAAATGCGCACAGAGATACATCATGTAAAGGTACAAAATCCCAATGATGAATGTGACTGTACTGTATACCTAAAATGTACCAATAAACTAAAAAAAAAATACATTGAAGGTCTATAAACAAGACGTACAAAACTGTGCCAAAAAAAAAAAAAAAGACAGGTTATAAATCTGAGCGTCAGGTCGTAAGCCCGAAAAGCAGGCTTCCGTTGTAAGTCCAAACAGTCGTTAAACATGTAGATCATTAAAGAAGGCATATCTGTACTGGGGGCTGAACCCAGGGCCTTCACACTGAGCTGCATCCCCAGCCCTTTCTATTTTTCATTTTGTGACAAGTCTCCCTAAGTTGCCAAGTTGCTCAAGCCTGAGGCCTGGTATATTTTTGTTCATTCCTTTTTCAGCAGCAGGAAAATCACAGTGGTGGCAAAGGGGAGGGTTTCTTTTGGTCTATCTTGGTTGAGCTGGGATTTTGCTGCAGATATCTGAATGTTTATAGTAGATTTAAATAAGATATAAGATTAACAAAAATGCCTAGCCACAACTTGCCCTCACCTGAGGGTGGACCTGGGGCTTACTGGTTCTGAGACTGACTGCCACTCACCCATGTCTTTGATTTTTGGGGAAGTTCCCCTAATCTGAGGCCTGCCCTTCTTGGTATTCTCGATGATAAAATGGGAATTAATGTGCACACACACACACACACACACACACACGAATGCTGTCACACCCCCTCACACAAACCTCTCTCCCACAGAAGCCTCACTTGGGTTCTTATCAGACAGGGAAAACTGCAGCCCTTTTCTAAGCTAAGGCCCACACCACTGTGTGGCACGTTCTGGCATCAAGAGATGTTAGTGCTGCCATGATTCAGTGTCAGAGCTATGGTCTAGTGTTTCTATTTTTCAAACAAACTATTTTAGAGCAGTTTAGATTAACAGAAAAATTGAAAAGACAGCACTGTACCAGGTGTGTTTGTTTGTTTCTTTGTTTGTTTTTGAGACAGGGTCTCACTATGTAGTTGAGACTGACCTGGAACTATGTAGCCCAGGCTGGTCTCGAACTCACAGCGATTCTCCTGCCTCAGCCTCCGAGTGCTGGGATGACAGGTGTGTGCCACCACGCCCAGCTGGAGGAGATGTTTTTGTATGACTCACACTCAGGTTCCTTTGTTACGATAGTATGGCAAATTTGTCAATATTAATGAATCAATATTAATGAATTAATTATTTTTAATTACAATTCAGATTTTACTCACATTTGTTTCACTTTTAAGGAGTGCTCATCCCACCCAGCATACCCTATCATAGTCTCATTGGAAGGGTATGTATTAGTCACTTGACTTATCACTGTTGATCTTAATCTTGATCACCTGGCCACAGGAATATTTGTAGGTTTGTCCATTATAAAAGTACTTTTTTCCCCACCATTTTCACACTGTATTCTTTGGAAGGAAGTCACCATGTCTAGTCCCATCTCAAAAAAGTTGGGAGGAGGACCTGGGGATGTAGCTCAGTGGATAGGCCCTGAGTTCAATCCCTAGTACCACACACACACACACACACACACACACACACA